CAAATATCTCGAAAACTAAAGCTGCACAAACGACAGTTTTAACCTGCACAAACGGAGCACTAACGAACTAGCCCACTTTGGTTTACTTTTGAAGCGATATGGGGTGATGGTGAACTGTAGATGACCAAATATATAATATTTAATATCTCGGAAACCAAAATTGCACAAACGACCATTTTAACGGCACAAACCTGCACAAACGGAGCACTAACCATTCAGACTATTTGATTAATTTTTTGACGTGGGTGGGGTGTCAGCTTCACACAGCTAGCTCAGCGTCCAGTACTGTTTAAAGCACTGTGAAGCTGTGGGAATGAGGGAGAGGAAAGCTGTGTCGTTACCAGTGATCAGAAGCTGATTCTGAACAAAAGTTGAGAGCGTTGTAGCACATATTTAGTCAATGACATCTACACACAACAGTATATATTTGATCTTTTTTTATTACATTTTAGGGGAAGCTGAGCTTCCTTTGCAGTCTTAGAGCAATCACCTCTGCTCTAATTATATTCGGACTAGTATAAATAATGTCAGATTTATCATTAAGTTGTAGGGAGACTCCAGTTCAAGATATCTTAAATGTATCTTTAGATATGAGATTCACTATATAAGATTTAATTAATGCAAATTTTGGACTTTTTCATGTTGAGTAAATTGTATTTAAAACAAAGCTGCTGCTGTTGATCATTCCGTTTTCATAAGCAGCCCTCCCAAGGAAAATATGGGAAACACTGGAAAGGTCTAAAAAAAGTTTATTGAAGATGTTTTTGATAATAGAATTGACTGACAACCATGTTAAATTTATGTTTACATAAAACAAGTAGCCCCCCCCCAAAACCTACTTCCTGGGGGAAACAGTGGGATGGACAGACGGCTCCATCAATTCATCCATCCATCCATTATGGATGCACCGATATGAAAATTTCTGCCGATATAATTATTGCTGTTATGGCCGATAACCGATATTTACCGATATCACACAAACACACAGCTGTGGCTACAATTGTAGTTTGCCATCATCAGTGTGTGAATGTGTGTGTGCATGGGTGAATGTCTGTAGTGTGAAGCGCTTTGAGTGTCCTGGATGGATAGAAAGGTGCTATTTAAGTACAGTCCATTTATCATTTACACACATTTTATTATACATATATGCACAAACACACTTGGGTCTTTTTTTGATACTGTAAATAAACGACCAGACCTCTGACATGGCTATACTCTTGTGTTATTCCTGGCTGTGCAGCGTCAATATCATAATCATTATCAAACATCTCAACCAACCATCTCCCCTCCCAAAACAGAAACACAAAACTAAAAAGTGAGAAATCAATATCGGATGTTAACATCGGCCCAGTTTTACATATCGGACCATARCAATATTCTAAAAAATGACWAGGGATGTCTCAATCCAGATTTTTTGGCTCCCGATACAATGTGAATTTTTTAATGATTAGTCTTTCYGATACCGGCCCGATACCAATCYGATAGCTTTATTTCTTTCCAAGTGACAAGGTTGGTAGTATTAAAGCGAGCCCTGCTGTTCCCACCACGAGTAACAACCAGTTTTCAGATTTTGCAAGATCCAGTTTCAGCATCGTTTTCCAYTGAAAAGTGTTCCCRCACTGTGGACACASTTGCATACTTGTGTGCGTCTTGACTTCTTAATGGCAGTTTTTACAACTGCATGACGATGCTGAAAACTGCTGCGAAAACTGGATCGGCCCGATCATATGACTAAATCWGATTCTACCCGTTTTTCAAAAAATGGCCATATCTGCCACCAATACAGATACTGAGTGGCTGATTGGGACATCCCTAAAAATGACCAGTATCGGCCGATACCATCCATCCATCCAACCATCCATAAATTCATTCAACCACCTATCCATCCATCCATCCATCCATCCATCCATCCATCCATCCATCCATCCATCCATCC